ACATTTTACTTAAAACCCATATATATAAAATATATTAAATTACTTCAACTATAATTGTTAATATTCATTTTTTTTTCAATAGAGAATTCGGATCCCCAAAAAACTAGTGCTGTACGACTGTTGTGAAAGTACAAATTCCTAGATTTTCAACCGGGCTTTGTTCTGTATACAGTATATAAATGACAAACCGACTGAGAACTATTAGATTTGTAGTCCACAGCAGCTAGAAGGCCATAGATTTTTTTTTATAGAATAATGCTAGCTTGGTACACTTAACAAACTTGACGCATGTGACTTGTTCAATCACAAGCATGAAATGAAGAACAGCTGCTGACAGCCGAGAACATCTGTGCGAGGGACATCTGAAGGACAATAGGACAATGCACAGTTGTTTCACGGGGTTAAAATTTATTTATTATTCACAATATTATTTTTCTTTTCTATCTTGCCTTCCAAGAGCAATCTGTACAAATCATACTGTGATTTCCCAAAATATGTTCTGAAAGGGGAACCGTCACTTCCCAGGAAATTACACCACTTGATAAAAAATAGAAAATCTCATATAACTTGAATTAACATTATGTCGACATCACTATTCCATTCAGTCCAGACATAGACATGGCACATATTGCATCTTGTTTCATTTCTCCTTGTCTTTGCATGTCTTCTCAATGCTGACTGCTAGGGGCAAAGGACAGAGTAATAATGAATAACTGGGAGCTAGGATGGTAGGACCCAATGTGTGCATTCCTACATAATTTGCAGCTGTCACATTTACGCGAGCAAGTCCCGATTTTAGACGCTCAGTTCCACTCTGATACTCGCCGGTCCTGCACTTTAGTGAACCTTCCGTGTGCACATAACAGACTGTTTTACTAAGGCAAATTGTTCTGTCGCCATAATGCATTGTTAAATAATTTTCTCCGTACTTACGTGGCATGAGGCAACGCATTTCACTGTGCCAGAATAAGACAAAATTGCACCGCTTGGTGGGGTTTTAACATTGAATTTCAAATAGGCAAAATTATATTTTGATCACGTGAATCAATACAATTTTTATACATGACATCTGGGTTCAATATGTGGTTGAGTGCAGTGTTCTGCCTTCGGGATTGCAACTGGTATAATCAGTTATGCAGGCTGACTGTCACTGATTCTATTACTGTCAGTCAGTGCGATCGTATATTAAACCAAGCCACACATTCACAGTTAGTGATCATGAAATCAGCCTAGACTGTACAGTTTCAGCCCACCTGGTTCTCCCATTATTTGTTATGGGAATAATAAGACTAGACTAAAATAAAGATGTTTAAATGCTTGTAAAAATAGGATATTGTTATAAATATTTTATGTAACACTAATGCTCATCAGTTGGTCATGAATTCATCACTCACAAGATCACCCCTAAAATGAAAGAATCCCTCTTTGGCCATTTGAGGAATGCATTGATTTTTTTACAACTCAAAAATACACATTTGTCAATTGTAGGGGATAAGTGAATATAATATGAGAAATTCTATGAAGTTGCCATTCTTCTTTAAGTAATTGATACTCAACTAAGAGTTTTTTCAGAACAGAACATTTACAAACTCAAAAAACAAAACAAGCATTGGCCTCATTTTAACTATATTGGCCAAAAACAGTTGTTAAAGTGTTACTCCAATCACCATGACCACTTTCGCTTTTTAAAGTTATGATGGTGGCAAGAATCTGCGTGTGCAATGTTTCAGTTTGAAACACTGCACTTCCAAAGATATTTGTAATTGTGTGAGTTTCAGAACTTTGTCCCGGGCTGCCTAATATCAATTTTGTGCATAAATTACACCTGTCGTCCGCACGCACTGCACGCTGGCAACAGACGTAACTGCTTCTCCTTGCTCTCTCTCTCACACTCACTCTGAATGAAGCTCCGATTCATCCAATCCCCTCTGCTATTTTTTTTAATTACTTCCTTTCCCTCTCTCTGTCCCACTCCTCCTGCCGGTTCAGAGCATGTGCCCTGAGCCGGTAGAATGGTCCAGTCCAAGGCTTCTCTATGACATCATATCGGGGTATGTCGACCCCGGCCCTGGATTAAGTAAGTTACATTTATTTTCAAAACACTCTTTAAGTGTTTTTCTAGGCTGAACATATAGAATAATGCCATATGAATTTCTCTTTTTATCTTTTTCTGGTTGTAACCTTTTTTAACTAATTTATCAGCTACATGTTGTCACAAACATAGCTGTCACCATCAGCCTTGGCTGAGGGGGATAACTAAGGGACAACTCACTCAAGTTAGGAGGAATTGTTCCCACACCAAAGATTTTCAGATACAAGCTCAACATGTAGCTGATAAATTAGTTAAAAAAGGTTACAGCCAGAAAAAGATAAAAAGAGAAATTCATATGATGTCTAAGAAAAGCAGGAATGAGTTCTTAATGGATGGCCCCAGTAATAAAAGAAAAGGGGAAAATTTCAAACAGGCTTTTTTTACACAATATAATGTGGATCACCCAAAAATTAAAAGGAGTTTATATAAATATTGGGCAATATTGTTGGAGGACCCCATTTTGGGGGAACATCTGTCAAAAAAGCCAAAGATTATTTATAGGAAAAAACAAAATCTTAAGAATTTATTAGCACCAAGTTATGCTTTAAAAAAATGGATTTAGAAACAAAAAAGGGACAAAAGGTTTTAAGGGTTGCAAAAGTTGTAAAGCCTGTTTACAAGTGAACAATGATAGAACTACCTCATACAGCAGTTCTGTCACAGGGAAACAGTTCTCCATTAAATCAGAGATTGGTTGCCGCTCGGACTGCGCGGTGTATTTGCTTCAATGCCCGTGCGGCAGCCAATACGTTGGCCGTACAAAGAGATGTTTAAAAGTAAGACTTCTAGAACATATTAATAATATCAAGAAAAAACTAGACACCCATTCGGTTCCCTTACATTGTAATAGTTGTTCACTTTTTTCCTAAAAGGATTGCGTTGTATAGGGATAGAACAGATTCAATCACACTGGAGAGGGGGTAATAAAGAGAAACGATTAGCACAAAGAGAGTCATATTGGATTCACAGATTACGTACTCTCACCCTAAGGGGGCTAAATGTAGATATGGATATAGTTTGTTTTTTAAATTAAGAGAGATACATATTTCATGTTTATTTGGAAGGAGAGAGAAAGGAAAAAAAAAAAAATTGGTAGGCACAATATGGATGTGTAATTGAGTATATAATCACTCATGCCACTTTAAAGATTTGTTTACTATGTTATTATACCAAATATCACTGTTAATATTTGAAATTAATTTATACATTATCACCTTTGCAATATATGGTGTATTGTGACAGATATCATGAATGTTCAACTTAGATAGGTAGTTTTACATTCATGATAAAAAAAAAGTATTTAGTTGGTAATTTTTAGAGGATATATAATAATGTACCTGATTGATTGTTTGGTAGCGTTTTTTAGGATGCTTTCTGGTTTTGTACTGCTGATTTTATTTTATGTTATTGAAAGAGGTCCCTGAGGAAGTCCTTCTGTGTAAGGACGAAACGCGAAGGACCAGTGTTTCTTTCATATTTTGTTTTATAATTTCTATTTGTACACCTACTGATTTTAAGAAGTGAATAAATCGCCTTTGAAGTATTCCTTGGGTTGCAGTTTGTTGAACCATCTTGCTGACCTTGATACCCCATCGGCTATCACTTGAGGAGGGATATTTAAAGAAAAAACCCCCATCTACATCGTGGGGAGGCATCCATAATACGCTTTACCATTTTGGAATATGTGAGTGCATATCAATCATTTAATTCTTATAGTATCAAGCAATATTTTTATCCTCTATTCTAGGTACACTAGCAGAATCCCAAAATATCCTATCAATTATACAGTTCTGTCATATGGTTATCAGCTGGGAAATAACCTTGGGAAGCAGTGTATCTATAAGTTAAGTTATATATATATTTTTTTCTATACAGATCACTTTGTTCACGGGTGGTTGTGTGTATTTGAAGAACATGGGGATTAGCTGAAGACTTTGTCAGGATCACTTGTCTTGGTAAGCAGCTAGTAGACAAATGTTTAGTAGATAACTTGGTCAGTAAAACACCAGGTCATGCACACAAACAAACAGCAGATTGCAAGACAGAATTGTTAGAACCTGAGATAACATTTAAGTCTGCAAAATGCTTGGTGTAGGTGAGATCTTTAAACAACAAAGAAAATGTTAGGGTAACATTATATTCCCTAAATGTGGAGGTAATGATCCTTTAAGCTATAAGGGAAGCCCTGCACTCCAGTGACACAATACAGGGAGTGTGTGTGACAGCTTTTGTTTCAATGCTATAGCCATCCAGCTGTAGAGGAGAACTCACCATCTGGACATGATGCTGATAAGGCAGATATAGAACCTGTCAAAGGTTGGCAGGTTCTGCATATTACAGAATGCTTACAAGAGTATGCAAACTAGACTGGGTTCCTGAGATAATGCATGAACTGCAAATCATTATTTTGCAATTTCATTGTTTACAGGACTGGACATTTGGATGCAGCATATCAGAAATTGCTAGTGGCATGAAGTACTTTTTACCCTAGACATGTACTTGTCAGAATTGTGATTCCATTAGTACTAACAATAGAAAGAAAATGGTCATTAAATGCTAATAAAAATGTATCAAAGCCTGACTGGCTTCCTGAGTAGACGCACGATTGCTGAGCTCCTGCAGCCAAAACTGAGAAATCGCCCAAAACTCGTTGTTAAAGGCTCGCACCTACACAAGCTTGCCATACCTGAGCTCAGAGTGCCTCACTAAATCTCTGGATTCTTCCCGATTGAGAATCGGTGCACAGCAACCCGAGATGTTTAACCGCGGCCTGCAGGCACTGGATCTGGGGAGAGACGGCCACTTTCCCCGTCCTCTCACTGGCGGCCCGGGAGACACGACACTCCCCCCTGGACCGGTGGGGGTTATCCCGGTCCAACCAGGGGAGAAAGCCAGGCCATACTGCGAGCAGCTGACCGGATCACGTGGACAGCCCGCAACAACTGGGCAAACTACAATGGCAGACGCCACGTGGATAACAAGCCACAGCACAGAGGAGCCTGATATCCTGAAGCGGCTAGAGCGCACCTTTTGGGTAAAACTAGCCGACAAACTGGAACAGGTACAGCCCTGCAAGCCAAAAGTCACCTTGCCTGACGTACCATCACCCAGCTCTCGCCATTGACAAGCTACCCCCAAGTGGAAGAGTGCTAGAAAATGGCGCCAGAGACGACGACGCCTCCAGCCTGCTCGCAACCCTGCTCGCATTCACAGAGCAAGGAATGGTAAACTTTCTGAGAGACCGCCGCGACATCGGTGGGGATACAACAGAAGGCACAACACCAAAAAGGCACCAGGTGGCACCCCTCCTCCGACAGCTCCCACCTGCCGACCCACTGTGAGCCGGGAAAGCCTGCAGCAAGCAACATGGATGCGGGACACTGTACACCCACAGGCAGGCTTCGGGTAAAGTGTCTAAACTGTACAAACTCTATGGCCACCCACTATAATTATGGACTATGGCATATACTCACACAAAAACGAACGCTATCCTGTTGCTCATTCCTTGTTGTTTCTTCCTGTGTTATAAATCTGTAGTCTCATTAGGGTAAGTGAGCACATCTCTCAAATGACAACCAAAGTACCCACAATTGCACACTACCTATCTCCTAGTACAACTGTAACAGAACCCGGTACTGTTTTGCCTGAACTTAATCTACAGTGCTGCTGGGGAGTTTAAACAGAACCGAATGACTGGTGTTCGTATAACTATTGCTACCCAAAATACCGAACATCAGACCACCCAGGGGAACAGTTAATTACTATTTTACCTCCCAGCGATTGTGGAGCCGTTCGCATGGTTCAGACGAATCCCTTTGTCTAAGAATAGGTGGCCGCCATTTCGGGACTTTACACGTGTTCGCGGCCATCTTACGCACGAACGGCGGTGTTTGCCTGTGAACGCATGGAACTAAAAACGGATACGCAAACAGGCGAACACCGCTGAGACCTCCAGGAGCTCGTAAGTTCGTGCTGAAACTACCGAACGACCGGCCGTTCGGTAGTTTTGTTTAAGCATGCATGGGGATTCAGGCGAACGGCAGGATTACTGTGGAGGGCAAGGGGTTCGTGGGGTTTTTATTCACGAACGGGGACCGACCGCAAGGCCAGAACTTGTGGAACTCTTTTCGGCTGAAAATCCTGTGCGGTCGGTCAAAACTTCAAAGACCCATAACTCCCGAACCCCACAACCGAATGACTTGAAATTCGAATATGTTATTCCCCTGAGTGGTAGCTATTAAGCGGTGCTGGACTTAAAGGTGTACCCCCTGTTTTTGGGGTACATCCAGAATGTGGGTAAATTTATGTACGTTATAATTATGTTATGTGTTTATCTGAGGGGAGGAGACGTGGGGGTATTACCCTGTGTGTAATTGGTTATTTTCATCCTCCCCCTGGGAGTGTCCTGTGTGTACTTGTTCCTAATAAAAAGCAGGCTGGTTCTCCCAGACCTCAGTTCTACTTGACCCTTCAAAACGTAGCCTCGTCTCGTTCTTGGAGGGGATTTATGGTGCCATTACTCTGCCTCATTTTTCAGTACTGCCGGATTATACCCTGGGATATCGTGGATGGGAACAAGGACTCTATTACTACACAGCAGCTTGCACAGAAAAGGACATCTCCAACGGCAGATACCCCTCTACAGCTGGGTAGCCGTTACATTGGTGGCAGCGGTGGGATGGTCCTTTTCATCCCCAAAGCAAGTGCTGAATGGAATCCCAGTACGCCAAGCTGAAAAGACCCACACTAAAGGATCTATTGGAAACCAGAGGAAGGAGTGCCAGCAACCGACCACGGAGAGAGCTGATAGCTGACCTACTGGAGCTGGACGAGATGGATCGATCCATGGAGGTCGCAGACCAACCTAACCCTGTCAGCGAGGAGGAGGAAATTACAAATCTTGTTCAGCGGAGATTATCCATGTACCCAGCGACATCCGTGGAACTAATAGATCAGCTGTTCCGGGAAGCGAGAACGGAGATACAAAATAGGAGGGGGCACGAACTTGAACTGGCAAGAGCTAGACAACCTATTGCACCTGCAGTTCATATGCCCCCACCCGCTGCTACAGGACAGAAAATACCCTTCACTGCGTTCAAAGCGTTTGTGGAAAGTGAGGAAGAGATTGACGGGTATTTGGCTGACTTTGAGAGGCAGTGCTCCCTACACCAGGTACCACTAGACCAATGGGTCACTATTTTGGCCGGAAAGCTATCGGGAAAGGCAAATGAGGCTTTTCGGGCACTTACTGAGGAAGATATTGCACAGTATCGCCGGGTGAAGGCTGCACTGCTCACCCGATATGCCGTCACCCCGGAAACGTATCGCCGTCACTTCAGGGAGTCTAAAAAGAAGGCTGCAGACTCCCACATGGAATGGGCAAACAAGATACAAAGGGTGGCATCACATTGGGTACGAGGGTGCAATGCCAACACCGGAGAGGAAGTACTACAGCTATTCCTAATGGAACATTTCTTCCAAGATCTGGCAGCAGACATACAGGATTGGGTGAGAGATCGTCGCCCTGCTAACTTAATCGAGGCAGCGCGGCTAGCGGACGAATACGCAGAGTCGAGAAAGGTGAGCCAAGGGTCCACACGACCAACCTCTAGGGCAGAGCCACGCACCCCAACGCCCGCTGCACGCACAGAATTTCGGGCCCCAGTCCCCCCAGGACCCCCACGTCCTCAGGGGTCTAACAACCAACCCCGGGATGCTTACAAAATTACGTGCCATCGCTGCGGCAACACGGGACATATTGCTCGTTATTGCCCCTTGGGATCAGCCAATAACAACTGGAGGCGATCAACCAATAACACAGAGGCCCCTTCATCACGCACCTCTGCTGCTCACTGCCTGGAAACAGAAGGGAGCCCTGAGGAGTGTTTGGGCATCCTATACGAGGCAAACCCCATACAAGCTGCATCCCCAGATAACCGCCAGCATCACCGCCAGGAGGTGCGTGTAAATGGGCAGGTGGCACAAGGCCTAAGGGACACGGGCGCTACCATCACTTTGGTGCAGAAGCATCTTGTGAAACCGGAGCATGTATCTACACGCACTGTTGCTGTCCGTGTCGCAGGGGGGGCTGTTTTTCGTTTACCCACTGCCCGGGTACACTTGGATTGGGGAGTCGGGTCGGGAAAGACCACAGTAGGAATCATGGACAATTTACCTGCTGAAGTCGTGTTGGGCAACGACATTGGCCCTCTGGCTTCAGCTTATCTACCCACGACTGCTGCTGCCTGTCCCGTGACCACCCGCTCACAGACCCGTATCGAAGACGATCCTCCAGCAGACCGGGAGACCCAGGTAAGCCACAAACAGACACTCAGCCCTAACACGGTAGAAAGACCCATAGCTTGGGACACCCCAGAGGAGTTTGGGAGGGAGACTAGACAGGACCCCACTCTCCAAAAGTATCGGGAATTAGCCGACAGTGGGGGGGATGAGCGGGAACGTTTTATATGGGAAGGTGACAGATTATACAGGTTGACACAAGGTAGGAGGAGAGGCTGTATCCCTTCACAGAAGCGCCAACTAGTGGTACCCAGAAAGTACCGGTTGGAACTTCTCCGAATTGGACATGACATTCCGTTGGCAGGACACTTAGGGGGTAACCGCACCGCCTACAGGATCACACAGACCTTTTTCTGGCCTGGGATCTCAAAGGACGTGCGGCGTTACTGCAGTACCTGTGATACATGCCAACGAGTAGGAAAGAGAGGGGACCACCCTAAAGCTCGACTGTCACCCATGCCCGTGATTGAGGAACCGTTTAGCCGGGTGGCAGTCGATCTAGTGGGACCCCTACCTAACCCCAGTCCCTCGGGTAAGAAGTATATTCTTACAGTAGTGGACTATGCTACCCGCTACCCAGAGGCTGTCGCTCTGACAAATATCCAGGCTGACACTGTCGCCAGTGCCCTAGTTGGGATATTCACCAGAGTGGGATTCCCTCAGGAAATCCTATCCGACCGAGGGACCCAGTTCACCGCAGACCTAACACAACAGTTGTGGAAGGTCTGTGGTGTCAAGACCCTGCTCAGTTCCCCGTACCACCCCCAGACTAACGGTCTCTGTGAACGCTTTAATGGTACCCTAAAGCAATTGCTGCGGACCTTTACAGCGGAATACAGAGACTGGGAGCGATTCTTGCCGCACCTCTTGTTTGCATATCGAGAGGTGCCCCAGGAATCCACAGGGTTCTCTCCCTTCGAGCTGCTCTATGGACGGCGAGTGCGAGGCCCCCTCGACCTCATCCGAGAGCACTGGGAGGGAGAGATGGAGCATGAGGGCGTTCCTATCGTACCTTATGTACTGGAGATGCGGGACCGCATGGGGCACCTAGCCAGAATGGCCCGAGAACATCTCCAGGCAGCCCAGGGCCGTCAGAAACACTGGTACGATCGGGGCGCCCGGCTGAGAACGTTCCAAGTAGGTCAGAAGGTTCTGGTACTTAGACCGGTCAAGGGAAACAAGCTACAGACCTCCTGGCAAGGCCCTTACAAGGTAGTGGCCCAGATATGTGACACCACCTATGTAATTGCCAGTAGCCAAGACGAAAGGGTCCAGAAGTCCTTTCATGTCAATTTGTTAAAAGAGTACCAAGAAAGGCCCGAAGATATAGCGGCCATATGTATCCCGGCCACTGAAGACCCTGACAGTCTCCCCATCCCGGATCTGTTAGCAGACTCCGAGCCTAAAACTCTGCTTAATACAGTGCAGCTGGGGGAGCGGTTAACTCCCACAGAAAGGGAGCAACTCCAACAATTGCTAGCTGAGAAAGGATTGACATTCTCTCAGGAGCCAGGTTACACACCCTTAGCGACACATTATGTGGAGACACCAGGACAGACCCCACTTAGACAGACTCCCTATAGAATCCCTGAGGCTGTAAAGGAGGAAATGAGGAAGGAGATTCAGGAGATGCTAAGACTTAGAGTCATAGAACCGTCCGACAGCCCCTGGGCCTCCCCAGTTGTCCTAGTCCCCAAAAAGGACGGGACGACCAGATTCTGTGTCGATTATCGACGCCTCAATGATAGGACCGTGACAGAC